AAGAAGAAGAAGAAGTACTAGGGAAATTTATTAAAGTAAAGTGAAGAAATACACTCATGAATACAGAATGGAGTAGATAGCTGAAGTCATCCTCTGATCTGACCAGGAACAAATACACTTCACAGGCAGGCAGTAGGGAGAAAGGGCATGTGACTCTTCTCCCTTTCCTTTTAAGAGGTCATGTACAATGGCAGGAAACACCACCTCTTTCAGGCCCTATAGCCCAAGGTCATGGGCAGAGCAAATACCACTACATATATGCTTGCATGCAAATGAGATATATAATGTGTCTGAATACTCTTGACCCATACCATCATTATTCAGTCCCAAATATGAGCAAACATGGATGAGGTGTGCATTTTATTTTTGTCTTCTTGGTCTTGAATCTTCCTGCCTTCTTGTGTAAATTGACTGACATCAAGTGCTTTTGGAGAATAAATGACACTAAGAATCTAGATGAAGATTGTATATTCATGATTGTCCTTGCCCCAGAAACCAGTCAGAAAATTTATTTTAATAAATTTCTGGATGAGAAGTATTTGTTATTTTTCTTTTCTCTTTGGCTATTATCTTTAATAATTTCTGTGAGTTTTGATAGTACAGGGCAGACACTAAATGTATCTTTTGTCTTCTTAAAGACACTACTTTGCAAATCACCAAAATTTATTTTGTATTTTGCTGGTGAGTGATTTACTATTTTAAAATGGAAGTGATAGTATTTATCTTTCCACTGTCTGCAATGTTAGAAGTTGAGAGATATGGCACTCTCTACATGCTTCCAGGATAAATATCCATCCTCCTGACTGTTGCCACCTGGTGTGCCAAGGATTCCCCTTACAAATACAATTGAAACCACATTTAGAAATTGAGATTTCAAGAAGGTGTCTTTCTTACATGTTTCCCGATGTTTCTTCCATCACACGTGTATTTCCTCACACATGTATAAAAGGGGATCTGATCTCTATGTCCCTCATCCTGGGAGGCCTCTTCACATAGCTATTTAGTAACTCCTTCAAATACTGCTTCACATATCTTATTCTATCAAAAGGAGTATGCCTTCTAAAGTCATAACTACAAAGTAAGTGATCTCCCAACTGTGACATTTTTTTTTTCAAGACAGGGTTTCTCTGTGTAGTTTTAATGCCTGTCCTGGATCTCGCTCTGTAGACCAGGCTGACCTCCAACTCACTGAGATCCACCTGCCTCTGCCTCCTGAGTGCTGGGTACTCAGTCCAACTATCACATTTTTATGTTGTCATATTTTATTCTGTTTCATTTCTACATCTGCACAATTCTGGATTCAGGGTTTTCTCAATGCTGGATACTTTCTCTATATTGTAGCTAACAAATTTTGAGGTCTGTAAAACTGTTTTCAACTCTGGAAAAATATATCAAACAAGGAGACTAAAGACAAAATTAACACGATTATCTAAATAGAGGCAGAAAAAGACTGGCAAAATCCAACATGCTTTTATATTAAATGTACTATAGAAAGTAAAGCTAGAGGAAATATACTTCAGCATACTAAAGTTTATAGACAACAACACTACATCCATCATTTGCTTAATTAGACAAAATCTTGAAACAATCCCAATTAAATTAGGAATGACATGGAGCTGTACATTATCCTTACTACTTTTCACTATCTTATATTAAGCACTAGTGGAGTGATAAGGCAATGGGAATACAAATAGGAAAGGAGAAAGTCAAACAATCCCTATTTGCAGATGGTATGATATTATATGTAAGAGTTTTTAAAATTTTTACCTGAAAATTTATACAACTACTCAACAATTTCAGAAAACTGTCAGGATACAGAATCAACTTACAAAAATCAATAACTTTTCTATACACCACCAACAAAAGCTGCCAAAACAAAGATTATGGATACACTGTCATCCAAATAGTCCAAAAATATAGAATAACAATGCAGAAGATTTCAGGTTTCAAGAAATTAAATACAGGCTGGAGAGATGGCTCGGTGATTTGTTTGTTTGTTGTTTTGGTTTGGTTTGGTTTTGCCTTAGTGATTAAGAGCACTGGCTGCTCTTCCAGAGGTCCTGAGTTCAATTCCCAGAAACCACATGGTGGCTCGCAACCATCTGTAATGAGATCTAGTGGCCTGCAGGGATACATGCAGGCAGAACACTGTATATGTAATAATAAATCTTTTTTTTTTTTTCTTTTTAAAGATGTATTTATTTATTATGTATACAGTGTCCTGCCTGCATGTATACCTGCAGGCCAGAAGAGGGTGCCAGATCTCATTACAGATGGTTGTGAGCCACCATGTGGTTGCTGGGAATTGAACTCAGGACCT